AACGTAAACACTATTCTTGTGCCAACTTTTTTTCTTTAACCTACTTATTTTCCTCACGGTATTTATCGCAGTTTGTGTCTTGTTTATGCAAATGTTTTCTATTCTTACCAGCAAAACATAGGCTGCGGACACTCCCTCCACACCCAAGATGATGTTTTCCATTATATTTGTCTAATGAAGCAGTTCTCAAATGAGCGGGATTTTGCCCACCAGGGGACATTCGCCAATGTCTAGAGACATTTTGGCTGTCACAACCAGATTGGGGAGTGGAGGCTCCTGACACCTAGTGTGCAGAAGCCAGAGATGCTTCTAAGTCGTCTACAATGCACAGGAGACCCCTCCCCCAACAAAGAATCATCCAGACCACAGTGTCAGTCCTGCCGAGGTTGGGAAACTCTTATCTAATAACATCAGAGATCAGAGTGAGACGAAGAAGAGAGAATGAGTTTTTCCCAAAGGATGAACTGTTTTAAGAAATGATATACGTGAACCCTGCAATTGTGAAAGCTACCTGCCTTCGGTTCTTATGTGGGATATAATCGTGGCAATCTCTTATAACCCGCTAGTTGCTTTGCCTTTCAGTGATCGTTGGTAAGGCTTTAGGACTTAATTTTAGGGGCACCTGGGTAGCTCAGTCGGTTAAGCGTCTGACTCTTGATTTCAGCTCAGGTCATGATCTCACGGTCCATGAGTTCAAGCCCCACCTGGGGCTCTGCGCAGACAGTGTGGAGCCTGGCTGGGATTCTCTCTCCCTCCCTCTGCCTCTCCCCTACTTGCTTCCTCTCGCTCTCAAAATAAATTTTTTAAAAAAATCTTGTAAAGATTTAATTTTAGTAAGTGAGAGGTAATGATTTTCAAAAATGCATTAATTTCTTAGGGCTGTATCTGTGGTTATACATTTCTTTATTGTGTCGTGACTACTGGGAGAAATTGGGAGCTATTTTTGAGGAGTATATATGAATTATTCTTGCCTACACTTTGTCAGAGTATATTTATTAGTCCATTCTAAATCATGTTTAATTTGGGTAATGCTTAAAAGAATCACATGCTAGCTTTCTAGTTTTCAAGGATTTGAGCATTGGTATATTGGTTTCTCTGGCCTGGCACATAGCAGGTGCTTAATAAATACCTTTAAACTGAACTGACATCTTTCTTTTTTTAAGTGGGAGTCCTAAGATCAAAGGAAGTATCTTTCAAAGGGTACCTTTTTTTTTATGGAAAATGATTGGAGCTGCTAAGAATCAACAAGTTCCCCAAGGCAGTTGTTAATAATTGGTGGCCCTAAAGGAACTTGAATTTCTAAAGAGACACTTTCACTACTAATCTTCTTGTTCTGTAATAGTCATGCATAGAAAGTTATTATGGCATAATTGTGGACCATGGCAAATGCTAGCACATTTTGATGCATCAGTTATGTGGTTCAGGGGTTACTGGAAAATACGTTAGAGGACCTTGGTGCATTGTCCTATGGGAGATAAGAAAAATGGCGCCAGCATATTTGGGGGTCTGAAGGCTATGTGGATGGCTCGAAGTTTTGGCAAGGCCTGGGCCCCACCACCAGTATGTTTCAGGAGTAGTTTTCTCTTTGTCCCCAAGGTAGAAATTTCTTGTTATTTCTCTCTCTCCCTCTCTCTTTCTTAAGTGAAATGTTACGAGCACTCTCAATTTATAAAATAAATGAATATAGACTGCTTTCATTAAAAGGGGGGTGATGGCAGTAGAGAGCCTGGGGCCCCATTCATTTCTTTCTGTCAACACATGTCGCCACTGTTGGGCCATGGCTCCCGAGAGCGCTGTTTTCCCATCAAGCTAGCTCAGTGACACTGCAGGTGGAATTTAGAAAGAGCTGATGAAGCCAAGAAAACTTACTTCTTGGCCTTCTGTTTGACCAGGAGCTCCATTTGAAAGGCAGTAGGTGTGGGATAAGTCAATCAAATACCTGTATGTGCTGAATTTCATAGGCATTGGAGCAAAGCAAGTTCTCTGTTAATGAGAAAGTTGTGTAAATCAGATCATCATATTTCATGGTCACGCCAGTTAGCTGATTTATTATTTTACAGTCAGAATTGAGATACGCAATTTAAATGTAATCTGGAAGTTCCTTGTAAATACTTAAAACATCTAGATTTAAATAAGTCTGAAAGGACTATTAAAGTGCATTCTAAAAGACCTATATGGAGAGTAGAATTAAAAATAAGATCGCTTGGGTGCCAGGGTAGCTCAGTTGGTTAAGTGTCCAATTCTTGATTTCAGCTCAGGTCATGATCTCACAGTTTGTGGGAATGAGTTCTATGTTGGGCTCTGGACTGACTGTACAGAGCCTTGTTGGGATTCTGTCTCTCCCTCTCTCTGCCCCTACCCTGCTCACGCTGTCTCTCAAAATAAAAAAAAATAAACTTGAAAAAAAAGAATAAGATGGGGCATCTGGGTGGCTCAGTTGGTTAAGTGTCTGACTTTTGGTTTTGGCTCAGGTCATGACCTCGTGGTTTGTGGGTTCGAGCCCCACGTGGGGCTCCACGCTGACAGTGCGAAATCTCTCTCTCTCTAGCCCCCCTCTCTGCCCCTCCCCTACTCATGTGTGTTCTGTCTTTCAAAATAAATAATAAACTTTAAAAAAAGTTACAAATCAATCAATAAATAAAAATTTTTTAAATGAAAAGAGTAAGATCACTCAGTTGTCACTAGCTGGAGGGTAGAAGCGACATAAGCAAGCAATGGTGGAAATTGAGAAGAGCATGGGAGAGCAGGTAGACAGCTCAAATTTTTTAGGAGGAATGGCTAAATGAGTGGTAGGATGCCAATCAATAAAAACAAATTAGGACACACCGACACTGTAAAATCCACTTTTGTGATACACGTCTGCAGAGGGACACCTGCCAGTAAGTGGAATGTAATATTTCAGGGACAGCGGAAGAGGGTGTCGGTATTGTCAGTGAGACCAGGAGGAGTAGGATTGTTCTGGTACATGTGACACGTTTCTCCAGGATTCCACAGCAGTTTAGGAACTCAGAAAGTATTAAGAAATGGGAAGCTTATACATTTAAGATGAAACCCTAGCACTTAGCTCTACTGTTTAAACTACTCATAGATCTTTTTAGCTTTTCCTCACTAGTGTGTTTTTTTCATTCATTTTGTTTTGTGTTTTTATAAATGGAAACGTTTAAGATGCTCTTCTCTTCACCCTTCCAGTTCTTTCTCTTATAATGTGACCATTGTTAAAAGTTTAGATACTTCTTAAAAAAAAAAAAAAAGAGGGGACTATACACTATAATTATTTTACAACTTGATTTTTCAATTTTTTTTTTTAATTTTTTTTGTTAACATTTATTCATCTTTGAGACAGAGAGAAAGAGAGAGAGAGAGAGTGGGTGGAGGAGGAGCAGAGAGAGAGGGAGACACAGAATCTGAAGCAGGCTCCAGGCTCTGAGCTGTCAGCACAGAGCCTGATGCGGGACCCGAACTCACTGGCTGCGAGATCATGACCTGAGCCAAAGTCGGAAGTCGGATGCTTAACTGACTGAGCCACCCAGGCACCCCATCTTTTTCAATTTCTATATCTTGGATATCCCTCTAGGTCAGTGGTTCTCAGATGGGAGAATTTTGCCCCTCGAGAGATAATGTCTGGAGGTATTTTTGATGGTCATGACTGGTCAGGAGAAGGAGAAGTTGCTTCTGGTATCTAGAAGAGGCCAGGGTTGCTATAAACACCCTACAGTGCAAAGGACAGCCTCACAACAAAGAATTATCTGCTCCAAAATGTCAATAGAGCCAAGATTGGAAACCCCATTCTAAGTCAATACACATAAATCTAATTCATTATTTTACAAAGCTTCGTAATACTTATAGGATGCTGGATCATTGTTCATTCAACTAGTTTCCTATTGATATTTGCGGCTTCTTATTTAGTGATGTTTATATATTTGATATTTAGAAACGAAACGCTCCTATTTGGGTATTTACAACTCATTTGTTTCTTCAAAGAGCAAAAGTAAGTCTTCTCAGAGAGACTCAAAAGAGGAACAGTTAAGAATTCATAGGCTTCTGTATAAAATTAGATTCCGGGTCACTGTGAGTCGAGAGAAATTTGGTTTTGGCAAAAATCACAGACTCACACTAAATGACAAGTCTTCAAGTAAGTTGTTTAAAAGCAGGTCTTCATTTTTTGATTCTTCAAAATTAAAAAAAGAAACAGCAGCAACAACCCTAAAGCCTTTTAAATGACTGCCCACAACAGAAGGGCTGCTCTTGAAGTCACTGCAGTAACTTTCAGAGAAGCTACTTCTGATGATCTCTGCTTCTTCCTCATATGTATTTTTAAAAATCCATTAGTATCTTAAATCATGGCGGGTTGAACGAAAGGGTTCAGAAGAAGAAAGTGATACCCAGTCCTAGAGATGTTGAATGACTTCCAGATGCCATTGACAATGGAATTCAGACTGGGAATGGCCCTCTGGTTAACCACAGAGGGTTTTATAGAAAGGGTGCCCTGAAGCAAACAGATGTTGGCTCTGTGCCTCCCTAAGCCCCTCCTCTCTGCTTGTCAAATGCATTCCTGGAAGGGTCAAGTGAAGACCAGATTCTCCCACCCTTGTAGAGCTGGGTCTATGGGAATGGTACCAGAAGTATGTGTGAGAATGTTGGAAGACCCACCTGGTAAGCTGGGAAGGAGTAAAACCCCTGCTTCAACCCTTTCCTTCTTGCCTGTTTCCTCAATAAGAAGCCTGAGTTGGACGTTTATCCTTCTTTGCCAATAGGCTTTTACTATTATTTTTTAGAGCCATTTAGTGACAGTTCTAGAGTAAAATAGACTAGGCTGGATGATTTGGTCTTAGTGCTTTTGACCCTTCAACTTTGAGGCAAGAGTCCTTCTAGTTAATGAATGAATAGGGACCATCATCCCGGAATAGGTCAGACCTGTCTAAGGAACTGCTAACATTTTCAGCTTGTTGACATTTGGGAAAACGGAGAGCTCACCTCCTCGTTGACTATTGCCTTTTTAGGACCAGAGCCACACGCAAGTGCCCCAGTACCGTCAGGATCACTCCTTGATCATGAGGTCCATTGTCCACATGACTGATGCTGCTCGCTCTGGGATCATGCCTCCCACTCAGCTCACCACCATCAACCAGTCTCAGCTCAGCGCCCAGTTGGGGTTAAACTTGGGAGGCGCCAATATGCCTCACACGTCTCCTTCACCTCCAGCAAGCAAATCAGCGACACCCTCCCCTTCCAGCTCCATCAATGAAGAGGATGCTGATGAATCCAACAGAGTAAGTTGACTGCCTTAGTGTGTCACGTACCCAAGAATTTCGAATCACCTCATGCTGTGTCTTTGAGTTTCATTCATGGTAGTTCCTGCCTTCTCTTCGTGGATTTGGCTAGCATTTAACTTTATGATGGTTTGATTCCCCCCCCCTTTTACTTATTCATTTTTTTTTTTTTTTTTTTTTTTTTTTTTTTTTTTGTGAAAAGTGTATTCTGCTGGAAATTGGGAGATCTGGCTTCTCCATCTGATTGTAAGGCATCAAACATGTCACTTAACTCATGTAGGCATGATTTTCCCGGTCTGCAGAAGGGAAGGCTTATACTAGATTCCCCAGGAATTCTATACTAAAGTGCTCTGGTTCTAAGTTAATGTCCATGTGGATAAGTTTCATCCAGTTAGTTGGCTGAGCCGCTGTCACATTGGGGAACCTTGCACCTTGGATGATGTTTATCACTTAGTAAGTTCTAATTGTTGCACATCTCTGCTTTTGTCATGGAGAGTGATGCTCAAATATGCATGGGTTGAAATAAAAACTTAGTTGCAGGTGGGACCTTTATGAATGCCTAGAAAGGTATTCTGTTTCATTAAAGTTACTTGTCCAAGATACACAATTACTCATTCTTTATTCATTATGTGTTGTATACCTACTCTGTGCTTTGCCTTGTACTTGGTTCTGGTGACATAAAGATTTATAAGAGAATTACTACCTCTGGGGCTCCCCACTGGGGACGAAAAGCAATGCTTAAAACTAGCTCCAGATGTGATTAGTGGTATAATTGATGTATCTGGTGTGCTAAGATTGTAATCGATTCTGCTTGGGAGAGTGATTTGAGGAAGACTTTATTGAGAAGGTGATATTTGAATTAGGTCTAAGAGGATACATAAAAGTTTGTGAGGCAGAAGAGAGAGGCCAGCATTCTGGTCGAAGGAGCAATGGAAGTACATGTCAATTTATGAGTGTCATGAACAGTTTGATATGGGGAGGAAAGACATAGGCATTGAAGAAAGCAGTAGCTGAAATGTGGAAGCCTTTCTCCTGCAGGTCGTTGAGAGCTGATTAATGATTTGCATAGAGGAATAGCAGAAGCAACTTTATGCTTTAGAAAGATGGCTTTGGCTGTATACAGAATGCGTTACAAAGGGAGGGATGGGAGGAAAGGAAACGAATCAGAAGATCTTTTTGTCATGAAGAGTTTCCTTTTAGCAAAGGAAGGAATGGACAGGAGGTACCAGATCCGTGAGACATATGAGAGGGAGAATCATAAAGTTTTGGTGATCCGCTGGGGTTTGAAGGAATAAAAGATAAATGGGGTTTTAATACGAGAGTTAGCATGGATATCGGCAAATGAGAGAATCAGCCCAGAGAAAGAAGAATGTTACTTTTTCTCCCATGGAAAAGATGAGAGTTTGGCATGGTATGGGTTGAATTTGATGCACCCACATTTGAGCTAGAACTCAGTTCATTGGAGGGAGAACAACCGATTTGGGGACCATCACACGTAGATAGGAAGACGTGGAAGTAATCAGGATTTCTCAGAGTGCATAAGGAGCCCTGAGCATCATTTATTTTTATTTTTAAGTAGCAAATGGAAAAAGAAGAGCTAGAGAAGGTAGAGAGTGATGAAGGAAGAGGGAAGCGAGGTTAGAATCTATTGCAGGGATTTAAAGGAGGGTTTGATCTGTCCTGACATCTTAGCACCCCACTGGATATGTTAGCACCCTACTGGACACAGATTGGGTGAATGGATGACCAGTCTCTGCTCACACTCAAAAGAACTTTCCTAAGGTGACGTGAGAAACAGGGATGTGAATAAGGCACGGCTAGGTTACAACTGGCCATAACACATTTCAGATGGATTCCTTTCATTTCACTCACATTTCCACTGATCTGATACTCACTTCTGTACCACACTGAAATTGTCATGGCTAAGGAGAACCTTATCTGTGACTCCTAGCTTACTCCATTTTAAGCAAGAGTCTAGGTTTCGTGTAAAGGCAAGGAACCCAATTTGTTCTCCTTTAAGCAACTGAGCCGAGAAAGAAAGATTAAAATTATCATTGATTGTGTCTCTTTTGAGGAAAACTATTTCCCCACCTTTCCCAACCCTCTTCAGGCAATCACATGCAGGTTCCTGTGGGAGAATTAATTCTAAGATTTTATTTAAACTGCAAGATTCTGCATTTCAGGTTTATTCTTAAAAGGTAATGATGTTTAGGGCACGTCATGGTTATCCAAGGAAGATATCAAAGGTTGTCAACATTTGAATGCTACTTTACAGGAAGGGAGAGTGAGCTCTTTGGGAAAGGTTGCCCTGGAAATCGCTTTCACCTTGCCACTGGTCAGAGCATTATTGCTGCAAACAGTGCCAAATTTTCTTCCAAGAAACGAATATAGTTGTTGGACTCAATTAGAAAAATCTGTGGTATATGTATGTATCTTTTTCCTTGGGGGCAAAGCAGTATTTTTTCACTGAAGGAAAACTTGGCTCCCACTGAAGCTCTAACCGAAAGGCATCTGACAGCCTTACGATAAGTTCAGATTCATTAACTAGAATTAAACAAGTCACATTGATTCTGAGAATTTAAAAAAGAAAAAAAGATGATTGAAAATTATTGCATTCATTGTGGGAGTTATGAAAGATGGCATTTTGGAGAAGAGGTGAGATGTGGCTTACCAGCCTCTGAAGTGGGTAACTACTTGTATGAAGTATGCATGTTGTTACCACTCAAGTAGCGTGTGTAATAGCCCCGCCGAGAAGTGGACTTGTGATACCCCAACACATTGAGGGTCCAGAGCGCTCAGAAACAAGGCACTAATCAGTTTCCTCCCTGAGAATTTCAGTAATTGGATTACGTTCCAAATGACTGTCATGCAGAAAGTAATGATACTCTCGGAAAATTTGAATTTAGGATTGAAGACTCAAGGCCATTAAAAACCAATCTGTCAGCAACTTGAGTCTATCTCTGTTGATCTTCCCCCACGACTGGCTTTTAAAACTGGTCTTGTCAAACATTTCAGCATTCTTGATGAAGTTAACGGCAAAATGATCTTCAGTATGGTCCTATTACAATCTAGGGGGATAAAACAAGGCTGATGTATCTTTTCTCCTGCTTCTCTGATAAGGATATTTTACGATCACTGACGTTAGATAATGGTAGTAGCAGGTTACTCTGGAGCTCATTGGTATATCAATGTAGGGAGCTATACCCATGTCATGTCTGTGGTTTTGATCTCAGAGAGTTTGTATAAGTATGTGTGAAGTATTTACTGTCTCTATGGCAGGATTCTTCTGGGCAGAGTTAGTCACCATATATCATAACTCTTTTCTTATCAGTCTTCTTTGTAGCCTGGGTGATTTTAAGTGTCAGTTATTGCTCTCATACTGGTTTTTAGTTCAGTGAAGAATACCAATTTTCTTTCTATCTCCAGTTAAAGGACTTTTGACATTGTTTATGTTTCTTGTTATCCTATTCTTCAGAAAGTTTTAATTGCTTAAAGAAATAAAGACGACCTTTCTTTTATTGTGCAAGCTTAGGGATTGTAGCTACTTTCCACTGGCGTTTCTGGAGACCCATTAGCCAAGTAACATTCTGGTAAGATAAAACTTGAAGCTTCAAAAAATCAATTCAGACTGATCATATATATGGCAGGTGACTATGGCAAGGGACCTCATTTCAAATATCTGAATATGATCCACGTCCTGAATTATTATTTAGATTTACTTCTAAGACCTCTGAAAATGTAAAATATTTTATGCATACATATGTAATGCACACACACATACACACACACATATGCACACACTTCATTGCCTGGTATAATGTTCTGTTTTTCATTACTCATAATTGCTATTTAGAGCATATGTTGTGAATGTATTGAAGATACTTCTGGGTCTCATTAATCAATGTTCTAAATGCTAATCTCTGCTGTCCAGTTAACTCTAAGAAAACTTACCCCTCCCCTGCTTTCGCCAGTGATTCATCCATTGATGAATCTGCTTAACAAAACCTTAAAAGAACAGTTGTGGATCTGGTTAGGTCTTGCTGCCTTCTCTGCGAGTACATTCTAGGCAGTGAATTTTCTTCCTGCTTTGCAGGCCATTGGAGAGAAAAGAGCTGCTCCAGATTCTGGCAAGAAGCCCAAGACTCCAAAGAAAAAGAAAAAGAAAGATCCCAATGAGCCCCAGAAGCCAGTGTCAGCATATGCCCTGTTTTTCAGAGACACACAGGCCGCAATTAAAGGTCAAAACCCCAATGCAACCTTTGGAGAGGTCTCGAAAATCGTTGCATCTATGTGGGACAGCCTTGGAGAAGAACAAAAGCAGGTGAGGTAGAGATCCATCGTGACCATAAAATCAAGAAGTTACCAGAGTATTTCTTACATCTTCTCTGAGTGAATGTTCGCTTAATACGACTGTTTCCTATGAAGGCCTTTCTAAGCTGTGGAACTTAGAGACGCAGTTGTGTAAACCTAAGCCGCTCCCCAGGTATATGGATTTCTCGGTCCCCCGTAAGGGTTCGTGTTCGGAACCCATTCAGTGGAGAAATGGGGGAAATTCACGCAATATCCTGTAAGCATAAACTTTTGATGATCATCGTTTCACGTTAGATAATGTGGTATTTGCCCCCTTGGTTCAGAAAGGGCACTACAAACCGATCAGGACCATCCCGCTTGCCTTTTCTCTGATCATCTTCCCGAACCTTTGTGCCGTCCCTGTGGGTTTCCAAACTTTGAAGCCGCCTCTGCGAGTCTCAGTACTGTCCCCGGGCATTCAAAATTTTATTCCAAGTTCATTTGAAAGCTTGGCTGTATGAGATGTATTGAGAGATTACCAAGCCGGTGGGAGATACTTCCTTTGGGGCCTCACCTCCTATGCTTCCCTTGAGGCTCCTCCACACAAAGGGGAGTTTCATGCACCTCTCATCAAACTCCAGTGACCATTAATGGGATTTCACGTTATGTGTGCTCAGATGACCAGACCTCCCTTGGGAATAAAATGGAATAACCATTTCGGGAATGAGGAGTGCCAAGGCCTCGAGTTTTCTTTTATGAATCATGACCTCATTCCTACTCTCTGGTTACTCTGGGATGGTGCAGCTATAGAATTTGCCCATTTGCGGTGAGCTTATTGTTGTATGTGGCGCACTGATTTTCTAGCCCAGAAATGTAATCCTCAGGGACTGCCAAAGCTGCTGCGTCTTTTACCTCTGGAGACAAAGGCAGTTGCACTTGGGTCTAACACGCTACCGTCAGATACTATTAAGAAAAGGAAGAGCAAATCATGGGATTTGTTTATGTAACTCGTTGGCCTCACTAATGGAAATTTACCACCTTTTAACTATTTCTGCGTTGTTTTTTGTTTTTTTCCTTCAGAAGAAAACTGTGCTAGTTCCGTCTTTTTCTCTTACATCTTCGCACACCGCACCTGTTGTTGATGTTATTTTAATCTTCTTACTTGGTGCAGGTTAGACGTGTGTCAGGGCGAGAGAAGACACTGATGGAGAAACTCGTGATTTCCTGTAATTTGAACAATTGGTAGCAAATTTTGCTCTTTTTGCTATACCCCATCCGCTGCCTTAATGCGAGGCCCTCAGCTGGCTCTCTCAAGGCATCTAGGCCACAACCTGAAATCTTTTTTTCTCATTTATCATCGTAAACATCCAAATTGTGCTCCTGTGAGGATGGCAGGGTTTTGTTTTCGTGTGTGTGTGTGTGTGTGTGTTTTCACGTTTAAAAACCAAAGCCACCGAAACCAGCTTTCTCTGTGAGTTACGTTGTGACCCAATTTGTGCGGCCGTTCTTTTATGGCTGAGAATTTGTAGGCTAACGGTGATGCTAATTGTGTCTTTCAATAGGTTTATAAAAGGAAAACGGAAGCTGCCAAAAAAGAATACCTGAAGGCCTTGGCTGCGTACAGGGCCAGCCTCGTTTCTAAGGTAAACCCGTGCAGGAACGGCCAGTCTCTGAGTTACGGTGTTGAAAACAGCCCAGTGCACTGAATGCATACAGGCAGCTCCCCTTAACAGTTGGCAAAAAAAAAAAAAAAAAAAAAAAAAAAAAAAAAAAAAAAAAAAAAAAAAAGGCATCTTGAACAATTCATTAGCTTATTTGTTCCCATTGGAGATTACCTCAATGATGGTATGAAAAAAAGGAGTTCACTTAAACCGCTGCATCTCCATTATTTCCAGAAGTTTCACTTTATATGTGTTGAGACTGTTTAACAAAACACAAAAATTAAAGACCGATCTCGAATAGCCTCTCATTTTTGCTTTTTGTCAGGGACTGGGATCGGTGTCCATGTCCTCCATTTAAACTGGGCAGTATTTTGGCCAGGCGGTTTGGGACATCCTATCATAAATTCTCGAGTGCTTCTATTATTGTCCTAGGGGATGTTGCAATTTGACCAAACTGTCCCACATCATATACATAAATAAACCTCAAGACTTTTTAAAATAAAATTAGGCTCCAAATACTTTAAAAAAAAAAAAGGACATGTATATGTATTTTACATAGAGGAGCAAATGGGCCCTGATGTATTATAAAATGCACCAGTATCCCAAAGCAAATGTCACTCTGGATTATTATTACCTTGATCCAAAAGGAGTGTGAGCTATTACGTTATATTTTAACATTTAATTAACCTTGTCTTTAGCCTCTCAAGAATTTTGAGAGGCTTTGGGGAGAATAATTTGAACTAATGTTTTTGCTCTTGATATATTTCGTCTGGCAATCAGGGATTCATTTCCATTGTCATGCTTGTTGCCAGAAGTACCACACGAGGCTGCAGGGCATGGTGGGTGTTGTTGGCAAAGCCATTTCAAAAGGGGCTACTTCCGGGGCACCTGGGTGGCTCAGTCGGTTAAGGGTCCAGCTCTTGGGTTTCGCTCAGGTGATGATCTTGAGGTTCGTGAGTTCGAGCCCCGTGTCAGGCTGCAGAGCCTGCCTGGGATTCTCTCTCCTCGTCTCTCTCTGCCCCTCCCCTGCTGGCTCGCTTTTTCTCTCTCTCTCAAAATAAATAAACTTTAAAAAAAATTTAAAAAGGGCTTCATTCCTTTTTTCTCTTCTTCCCCTGAGTTGTTTCTTCTTTATATTAAGATCCACCAGCAGCAGCAGTTCAAATCAGATCAAGAGGGGTCCCCCTTGTTTAGCTGTTCGCTATTAGGACAACTTCCGCGTCATTAGAAAGAGAATACAAACATTCACGAGGTCAATAGTGAGACCTTTTTCTGAGACACTGGAAGACACACATTAAAAGACATACCAGTTCTGGACTCAGATTTGCCTACTGGCAGAACACAGCCGAATGTGTAGGCTACTGATGTTAAGAATGGAGGTATAGTTGGCTAATTAGATAGAGTGACCCGGCTAGAGGAGCAGTGCACATGTACTTCCTATTCCTAAGTGGATCATTTATTCATTCATTTACCCAGAAGCAGGTATAGGTGATCTTTGTGTATTAGAGCATGAATAATTGACCACACATGGATTTCAGCCAAGAGGCAGTATCTCAAAAGACATCCAGAAAATAACAACCATGATTGGGCTCATCGAGTCTGTGACTGATGTGGAAGGGATACCATAAAAGTTATACATCGGGGACTAGAGTCACGATTCAGAAGTATGTCAGAATAAAGCTTAGTGAGTCCCCCAAACCAACAGGATGGAATTTAAAAAGAATAAATATAAAGCAGTGTTTGTTTGGGGTATTTTGGGTTTTTGTTTTTGTTTTTGTTTTCACTAAGTTAGTGCAGTTTGAGAGCATCCTTAATTTATATTCAGAGTCCTGGCAGGTACCTAAAATAGTCCGTGAAGTAGAAGTTCAGAATAATTTCAGTCCGAACCAAAAGTGTAAAATAGCTTCTAATGTGATGATCTCACAGGAAATAGTATCTAATTGTACAGCATGGTGATTAGACCACATCTGAAGTATCGGTTCCATTTTGGAATCCACAATTTAAAGGGGCGTGGTAACCAACCAACAAAAGTTAATAGAACCTTAATATTAAAACACAGGGAGTAAACCTGGCAGGCAAGCAAGAACTGTTTCCACTCGCCCACCCATTTCTCTTCACCAGTATGGTGGTGTCTTAAAGGCACACTGGTGTGATTGGCCAGGGGTCTAAATATAGACTTCCCTTGCAGTTTCATTCTTTTTTTTTTTTTTTTCAACGTTTATTTATTTTTGGGACAGAGAGAGACAGAGCATGAACGGGGGAGGGGCAGAGAGAGAGGAAGACACAGAATCGGAAACAGGCTCCAGGCTCTGAGCCATCAGCCCAGAGCCTGACGCGGGGCTCGAACTCCCGGACCGCGAGATGGTGACCTGGCTAAAGTCGGACGCTCAACCGACTGCGCCACCCAGGCGCCCCGCAGTTTCATTCTTAAGACTAGCTGGGTGATTTTTAAATATTAGAATATATAAGAATTGTTTTCCTGTTTATATGTAGAACACTGTGTGTATTCTACCTTATGGGTGATTTCATAGTTTTTTAAAGATGATTAATGAGTCTTTGCAGGCTTCTTCTTACCTGAGGACTTTAGAACGTGAACCTCCAGTAGGCATGTAACCCACCAAGCTTCCGTAAAAAATCGGAGAGCTGTCCACCCATAGCTGGTGTTTCGCCATGATGATGTATTCAAACATAATCCATCAACAATGGCCTCTCCTCCATTGAGTGACTGTCAACATAAGGTCACCACTCAGAAGATCCTTCTACTAGTAGAGTTTATAAATGGGAGTAATAAAAAGCTGGAAGTAAACATTCAGTATCACTGAAGAGTGGATGCCAGCTTGATGCCTCCAAGGTGCTCCCACCCTCCCCTTCCAAAAACACCTAATTTTGTGAAGAACGAGAGAAGAAAATAGCCAGTAAGAGCAATCACTTCAGTCACGGTTACATTAGTAAAAGAATTTTATCTTTGTGGAGGTGATTACGTATTTTTAGTGCAAAATGTAATAGCCTCTCTCCGTGTTGAGCCTCAGATCAGATCAGTTGTTTATCTTATGACAGATTATTCAGACACCCGAGTGTTGAACGTTCTCCCCTGACCTAGGACTCCTGTGATAAATTCTGGAAATCTTTGAAGATATTGGGTAAACTAAAACCTCTCTTAAGCCATAAAATACTTGCATTGAGTATCTCTAAGGAATTCAGCGACAGTCCTCCTATATTCAAGTGAGCATTGTCATACACTGCCTGGAAGTGTAGAGCTTTGACATTTTCTAGTAGTAGTTTTCTGGTAATAATTGTTAATTAATAAAAAATAGCTAACATTTACTAAAGGCGTCCCCTGTGCCACGCGCTATTCTAAATGCTTGACAACATATGAATTAATTTAATTCTCACAACCTCTACATAAGGTAAATACCATAACACCCCGTTTTATAGGTAAGGAAACTGAGGAACAGGTGGGTGAATTAACTTGCCCAGAGTCATGAAGCTGCCAAGTAGTGGGGCACAATTTGAACTCCCCGGCAGTCTATTGTCTTTTCAGTATGAGTCGTAGTGATGAGGGCTAGCTCAGGCTTCACTGCTGGAGGTGTCGTTTCTTGAACATGTGTATCAGTTATCTTTTGCTACCTTGTGCTGTGTAACACCCAGCCACAAAGCCCAGTGACTTGAAAAGACAAGCATGTGTCTCAGAGGGCGCCAGTGAACTGGCTGGTTCTTCAATCTAGGCCTGACTTGGCAGGATCCACCAGTCCTGCTCATTGGTCTGCAGTCGGCAAGGGGGTTGGACCTGGCTGGGGCTTGTTCTCGGACAAGGCAGTTGGCCGACTGGCTGGCTTTTGAGTGGTGACTGGGCCCTGTGCCCCTTGTCACGCACATGGTGATGGCAGATGCCTAGGAGGGTACAAGGCCAGCCCGATTCAAGGGGTAAGGAATTTGACTCTACCTTTTGGGGGCGGGGAGCTGAAAAGTCAAAGGACAGGAAAATGGAGTCCAGAGAAGAAAAATGGTGGTTATTTTTTTTTTTTTAATCAATTTGCAATACTTAAAAAAAAAACAGTTGACTATTTTAAATACTTGGGTATTTTAATATCTGGGGATTTTCTCCCCCCAAATGCAGGCTGCTGCCGAATCCGCAGAAGCCCAGACCATTCGCTCCGTTCAGCAGACCCTGGCGTCCACCAATCTGACATCCTCGCTCCTTCTCAACCCTCCGCTGTCGCAGCACGGGACCGTATCAGCCTCACCTCAGACTCTCCAGCAGTCGCTCCCCAGGTCCATCGCTCCCAAACCCCTAACCATGAGACTCCCCATGAACCAGATCGTCACGTCGGTCACCATCGCCGCCAACATGCCCTCGAACATTGGGGCCCCGCTGATAAGCTCCATGGGGACGACCCTGGTGGGCTCGGCGTCCTCTGCCCAGGGGAGCCCTTCCGTGCAAACCCAGCAGCAGCACCTGCAGAGGCAGCAGCAGCAGCTCCAGCAGCACCAAATGCAGCAGCAGCTCCAGCAGCAGATGCAGCAGCAGCATTTCCAGCACCACCTGCAGCAGCACCTGCAGCAGCAGCAGCAGCACCTGCAGCAGCAGCTCAGCCAGCAGCAGCTGCAGCAGCAGCTCCAGCAGCAGCTCCAGCTGCAGCAGCTGCAGCAGCACATGCAGCACCCGCCTCAGCCCTCTCCTCGGCAGCCCTCCCCGGTCACCTCCCAGATGACGTCCCCCATCCCCGCCATCGGGAGCCCGCAGCCAGCCTCTCAGCAGCACCAGTCACAGATACAGTCTCAGCCACAGACTCCGGTGTTGTCCCAGGTCAGTATTTTCTGAAGGCGCCCGCGGCAGGCACGCCCGGATTGGCGCACGCGCGTGCGGAGGCGAGTGGCGGAGGAGGGTAACCCGAACGCGGCCGAAGCTTGTAAGTTGCGGTCGGTTATGCAGAAACGTGTCACAGATCACATGGTCCTCTCAAGTGTCTATTAGATAGGCAATAAGAACACAGTGTAGCCGAGTATCACCTTCTAGCTGACTGTAAATCACTTTGTTTTTAAACAAGAAAAGCTGTGCTCTTTTATGTGATGCCTTTTTTATTTATTCAGGCTATACCTACAATATGTGAATCAAACCGTTTAATGAATCCTGGGACGTACTGAGGACTCTAAACTGGCCTCTCTGAGTCATAGAAAACGGCCTTATTTCTCCAGAAGTGAATAAACCGCACTTCCAGGCTATTTGAACTTCCGGAGCCCTAAAAATAAAAAGCACAGTGGTAATTACCTGACATAGGAAGATCCAGTTTCATACAAACATTTGTATGACGTGAATAGTTGATGGCATTTTTTTGTCATGAAAAAAAAAATAATGTAAATCACAGACTTTTGCCAAAGCTCTTATTTTTTTTTTCCTAAATCTCTCCAGAAAAAAAAAAATACAAGTGATTAGATTCAATTATTGACTTATTTCCACTTTTTTAACCCATGACTTCTCCAAATCAAACCACAGTATATGTTGTAACAATATCTATGACCACTGTTAGCCCATTATGTTCATCCCAATTAGAAGAAAAGAATGTGAATATTATATTCTGTGTTTTGAGTGACAAGTTTCGAAAATAAAAACACTGTATTTTTAAAAGGGAAATGCACTTAAATGAAAACAGTTATTACAAAAGTTAAGATTTAAAAAAAAAAATGCAAGAGTTTTTATTATGATGTAATACCGGTAGAATATTTAAAAGGCGCACCACATCTGAATAATCAATGTAAATATTTTCTTTCAAAGTTGTAAGTTTTCATATCATGTGTTGTAAAGTTTTCATACATGAGGCTTTAACGTAAACACTGGTGACATAAACCATTCATTGCTACGTTGCTTATTGTGTTTTTATGCTGTTTTATACTTTTTTATGAGTTATGATAGCAGCGATTAAGTTGTTTGTATTTTGCTTAACTAAAACAAAAAAATGCTTTTATCTTGCTATAGAATAAACACATTTCAGTAAAAACTGTGGACTGTATTTTGATGCAACAACCAGGAAAATGTTCACTTTTCAAATAAAATGATATGTCAAATTTCACTTTCGGTTCCTTGAATACGTATGCGATGGGAAAACAGGCCACATCCCAACTTTTCTTGAGCCAACGCATCATACTCTGTTTTCAGTCGGAAATAGGATGCTCATTGCCAAGAATTCGGGTTGCGTGGCCCACACCCAGGACCTCTTAAAAAATGGAAACTATTTTTTTTAACGATCCTTTTGTTGAGATGCAAGGGACAGGTAAGTATAGAGGGAAAAGCAATTGTCTTGTCTTTGGGGCCAGAACTTGCCGGCAGTGTGTTGGTACTGCTGGTAAGAGGGATGGCGAATGCTGATTCTTAAGCCAAAATCATTATTTCAGTGCCCATTTCTTCCCCCCTTTTCTTGCTCTGTAGTGGCTCCTCTTTGAGAACAGTGTGACCACTATCCCCAGTTGTCTTGCATGATTAATTACAGCATCTGTCCTGTCAGAAGCTATAATGAAGAGGTCTTGATAAAAATTGCAAATTACCACTGGCAACAGTCTTAAACTGTTTATGATAAAATGAAAATTAAAAACAGCAAGTGTCAGCCCTGACCAGAATCCTAATCTGGAAAACATGAGGGTGTGAGTAGGGTGTCCGTAGCTCCCGTGCACAAGACATTCAGACATAATGGAATATGGATTCCTCCAAGTTGTTGTTGTATTTTCAAAGAATATTTACTGTATGTTGTGGGCTATGAATAATGAATTCAGCTTTCAATATTTCATAGTCCTCTCGTACTCTGTATTATGTACAAATATTGAACAGCAAGAGATTCTAATTATAAATTTATAGATTTCTTGCTGTAGAAAAATTTATGTCTAAATTGAAGCTTTTCATAAGATGTATTAGTTGACAGGTATCAGTGTTCAAACAGTCTTAGAATGATGCCTAATCACATCGACAAGGAGGCAATTGTGTTCCACAAAGAAATGATCTGCTTGCCTCGGACCCATCAGAAGGAGAGCTGATGGTAAGAGATTTTCTGTGAATTGAAACTAACATTACATAACAATAAGAACCATTTTATATTCTGTTGTGAAACCTTTAGACAAACGTCTTCAAAATTAATTGCTAAACTACATGTGACAGTAATTGTGTATTAGTTCTGTCATTGTCATTTTGAAAACCCATGAAGTGTTGCTTGGGAAAAAAATGTCACTAGTGATAAGACTTAATTGCAAGCGAAGTCTGTTTTCAACTGTTTGCAGTTAGAAGCAGGTGTTGTAACATCTATTAAATGATTTTGTAAATCTTGGGTTTTATCACATTTGATTAAATGCTGCTAAGCCACTGACGGTCAATTTCAAGGCAAAAAAAAAAAATAGCTTAATTACGACAGTTTAAGAAAATTAATCATCAGGCAAAACTGTATGTTTAAAATGTCAAAAGGCTTGAATCATGAAAAGAATTCTCCAACCTTGTCACCAGATTATTTTTCTCAGAATTCACTAAGGCATATTATGAATCAACGTGTATTTCAATGTATACATGTGACTGGTTCCTATGCCTGAGAAGTCAGTAAGTACTTGCTGTACTTTTTGTTGTTGTTGTTGTTGTTACAGGTCAGAAATAAATCAGGGTAATGAAAAATAGACATGAGAAATGTGGTATCTGATTAGTGGGATTTCTAAATGGTCTAACTGCCCCCCCTCTTAAGCGGTCTCGAGACGTGAAGGAGGCCCTTCCGCACCCCCGCCCCCGCCTCTACCGCGCACACCTTTTCACTCCCCCTGCCCGGTGTGCGTTGTTTAGTTACTCTAGCTGAATACATTCCCTTTTTTTGCATTAACCTGTACTGCTGTATGATGGAGGAACATAAGGAGTTTTCATTTTTAGCTGACACGGGGGTCATTAGTTCCCAACTCAAAGAACAAAAGCTTAAATGCCTTCGTGCAGCATAATTTTTGCAATTTATTACCACCTGACGGAGGTTTGAAGGCGTTCTAGACAGATGGATTAATATCTCAAGCTTAAGTAGAACTCCTCTGCTGTGTCCATTCAGCGGGTTTCAGACATCTGAATGGTTTCTTTCCCGTAACTCACTTCATGGAGCATTTTTCAGCACTGGACTTCAATCTA